GGATACCCACAAGTCCTGAAGGGGGCAGCAAGGCGTGTCAGTTCTATATATGGAAACCATGAAAGTTCATTGAATTCTTAAAGTGGAACTTTAGACTGAAAATTAAGTCCTGCTAGACCACTTTAGGATGGCCCCTTTAAAACATTAAAAATAAGTGCCTATACCACTTGCCAGCCGCCCTGTACCAGATTTACTACTACAGGGCGGCATGGCTACGCAAAATCACGCATATATATACGTAATTTGCAATTACGGGTAGGGGGCGTGCGCACGCATGCTGCCCTTCCCTCGCCGCTATTGGCTGCTGGGGATGTCAATCACTGGGTCCCATCTGGCGATTCCCAGCCAGAACATGGTGATCGTTGGCACAGCTGACAGGGGAGAGACCTGTCTGAACAGAACACAGGTCTCTCTCCTGTCAGCAAGGACATGCTGCTGTGTATTTCTCTCTGCACAGCATGTCTCCCTAGTAAAACACACACAACACACAGTTAACCCTTTGATCACTCCAGATGTTAACCCCTTCCTGCCCAGTGCCATTAGTACAGTGACAGTGCTTTTTATTAGCACTGATCACTGTATTAGTGTCACTGGGGATGTCAGTGGCCGTTAGTTCCCCCCAGTGTCAGAATGCCCGCCGCAGTCCTGCTATAAGTCACTGATCGCCACCATTACTAGTATTAAAAATTTTTTTTACAGTATTTTATACCGCCATTTGTAAACGCTATAACTTTCACGTAAACCAATTAATTTACACTTATTTGGATTTTTTTTAGAAAAGACATGGAGCAGAAAACATTTTGGCCAAAATTTATGAAGAAATTAGATTTTTTTTTATTGGATATGTTTTATAGCAAAAAGTCAAAAATATAGTTGTTTTTCAAAACTGTTGGTCTTTCTTTGCTTATAGACATAAATTTCATTTGACTGCAGTGTTACATGACCACGCAATTGTCAGTTAAAGTAACGCAGCGCCGTAACACAAAAAATGGCCTGGTCATGAAGGGGGGGGGGAAATCCTCAGGAGGGCGAATCTACTAGAGGTGTCTACAGAGCTTTTCCACTGGAATCTGATGTGTGGGAGCTGGTTGATTCTCCTGGAGATAAAGGATATTGTTTCTACTGGTGATGATTGCTAAACAGTTTTACCACAGGAGTGTCATCTCATTCCTTTGTTGTGCCAAGTGAGTGTCAGAGTTCTGCTGAAGTTGACAAGAGCTGGGAAATTTATTTTGGGTTGTTCTTTGGTGGTAGGTTATGGTAGTAACCAGGGGCGGACTGACAACTCATGGGGCCCCCGGGCAAAAGAGGATCATGGGGCCCCTGTGTCCTTGCCCAAACTCAAAAAAGCCTATGAAAAAGGTACCAGGGGCATCTCATGGGGCCCCCTTCTGTCCCCGGGCCCTCGGGCAGTGCCCGAGTTTCCAAATGGTCAGTCTGCCCCTGGTAGTAACAAGAACACAGCTGAATTAAATGATTTTTTTTTTTACTATTTTGGGCCAGTTTTCCTTTGATAATAAAACAAAAATCAGGAGATATCCATTGCCATTTACCACCAAATGAAAGCCCAATTTGTCCTGAAAAAAACAAAGTATAATTCACCTGGATGTACAAAGTAGTTGTGATGATATGTACGGTTTTACTAACATATGTCAAAGTTGTAAAATTTGACCTTGGCTTTAAGATTTGTTCTACCCTTAGGCATGATGGAGTTAACCTCCCTAGCGGTCTGATTATGTCGGTATTTCTGTGCTCAAAGCGGTACTTTTTTTTCATGGAAATATGTTGTTTTTTTTTTTTATTGTAGGACTGTAATTCTTAGGAATAACTCACTGAAATCTGTCCAAACAAGAGTCTAGTAAACATCCCGGGTATGATAAAATTTCAAACACAAAATCATAAATCACAAATATAATGAATAATCATAAAAAATAATAATATAAAAATAATAAATTTAAATCAATAATATAATCAAACCAAAAACACTGAAATTTGAAACAGAGCGCCAAGTTCGCACATCGCTGAGCAAAGTCGCAGAATCGTTTTCAGTGTCTGATGAGGAATTTCCCCCACGAATCATCATCACTCAATTCTGCAAGTGGTTCTGATTTACTATCGCTGTTCTCTAGCCGGTCTAAAACCGCTTTTGACCTAAAGGGACGCTTTTTGGACGCCATGGACGTTTCTCAGTTTCCAGGCAGAAAGAACAGTAAAAATGCAGGCAGGGGCCGGACAAAGCACTCGGGACAAAATGTATGTGAAATGATTTGATACAGGAATGTTATACTATGTGATTTTAGTGTATTGAGTGTCACTTAAAATTTTTGAATTTCCCGCCGGTTCTGTCCCTCGAATGTCCCGACGCTCGCAGGGAACGGAACCTGGGAGACGGATCCTGGTATCGGCCGGAGGAGATAGCCGGGGACACTGCAGGGGGGACATCGCAGGAGTGAAGGACAAGGTAAGTGCTGCAGGGAATCCTTGAACAACGCTGCAGTGTATTCCTGAGTGTAGCTCAGAGTTACCGCTTCTGGTACTGAACTTAACCCCGAGCTACACTCAGGAATACCGCCAATTATGTTGGTGTGCAGCCATTCCTTCTAATGGCCACAGTGAGCGGTGGGGAGCCGAGGCGGGCGCCCACACGAGGGCTGTATAAGACTGATGGCATTTGGCCTGGAGCAGTTTCTTTCTAGGTTGGAAGACACCTCCAGGAGGATCCCCCTATGGGGTCTCCGTCCTGTTTCTAATCTAATCTGTAGGCGAGTCAACCTCCATGGGACTCCATCCTACCTACCGTGAATATCAGCAGCACCAGGACTCAGTTAGTGTGTTTCTGCAAAACTGAAAACGCGCTGAAAAACGTATGGGTGTGAACCAGGCCTTATAACCACTTGAGGCAACACCATCAACACGTTACATGCTTTAACACATATAGGTGCTATTTATTGTGAATGGCACCCCAACGCACCAAGGCAACACACACATGCATTGAATCAAACATTTTGTGGCATGTCCAATGTTTGTAACATTTTGGTGAGTTGTCAGCCCAATTTTTTCATTCGGTTGCTTAATACAATGCACGTTAACGTGCAACATAATGTGCATTAAGACCTATATGTTAGGAGATTAAGGGGCAAAATGATCTCCATGTATAATACATACAGGGGGGGGATATGATCTCCATGTATAATACATAGGGGGGATATGATCTCCATGTATAATACATAAGTGTCAGAATGGACTGGCCAGCAATGGTGGGACTCACCTGCCTTTTGATCTGCAGTACCAGGGCTGGCCAGCGGGTGCTCCCAGCAATCAGAGACTCAACTTTGCAGCCAGCTAACACCTGGAACTGATTATGCTGGGGTATTTAAGGGATGGCCAGACCCACAGACTCTGCCTTGGTGTGTGTTTGTCCTGGGCCCTGTATCTGTCCTGCATCCTGTTTCTGTTCCTTTGCTGACCCTCTGTACTACGCTGCTTGCTACCTGTCCTGATCCTGGCTTGTGACCCTGACCATCCCTCTGCCTGACCCTCTGTACTACGCTGCTTGCTACCTGTTTCTGATCCCTGGCTTGTGACCCTGACCATCCCTCTGCTTGACCCTCTGTACTACGCTGCTTGCTACCTGCTGAACCTGGCCTGTGACCCCGACCATTCTCCGCTTGCTCCCCCTGTACCTACCTGCCCAATTGATATTGACCCGCCTGCCTGACGACGCTTGCTTGTATGTACTGTTATCTGTGGGTGGTTGGTTTGGTTTGTTTGCACTGTATTATGTTTAGTATTGCACTGCGTTTATGTTTGTATTGTTAGTGTTAATAAATTATATTGTTTATCCCATATCTGAAGTCTGCGTTTCCCTGCGTCAGTCACACATCTCTGGTCATACCTGGGAGCCCGGACATTACACCAAGGCACAATCCTGACCAGAAGTGGCTGCACAGGGAAGCCCATCTTGCTGTTTTGTTGATGGGAAGGATGGATCTGGATGAGGTTGAGTATTTATATCTGCTAGTGTTTGATGACAGGGAGTATGCTTATCAAACTCTGAAGGAGTATCCCCGGGATGAACTGCTAGAATGTATACGGCTCGCTCATGTTCTTGTAGATCAGGGCACAGAGTTCTCTGAGGTGCAGCCCTTTGATTTGAGGTTTGTGCAGAGTTGGTTTCATCTGGTTCCCCCGAATGCAGGGATGAATTTTTGCCACCATTTAGTGCAGACCAGGTAGAGTCCCTGGTGTGGTTATTAGAGGATGATGTGGTTACTTTCTGGAGCGTTATTCCACATGTTCACCACAGACACTAAGAGTTTGTATAAACGCAGTGCAGTCATTGACCAGACAGGCTTTGTGTAAGCTCAGCTTTGTTCAACCATACTGCAGACATGGGACAGACTTGTTGCACCCGCAAGCCTCAGTCAGCTTACAAAAGACCCAGTCCTGCTTCTAACTCTTCTCCTGTATTCCCACCAACAGCTCCTCCAGTTACAGCCCAGTTATACTTGGCTATCTACCGCATGTCAGTACCCCTGTTTTCCCACTCGCTGCACCTATCCTGCCTTTAACCCTGTAAAAAAGCCCTCTGTAGCAACTGCTCCCTCTCCTGTTCCATCCTCCAGTTCTTCTCTTTCTCCAGCTGCTCCATTCGTTTGCAGACCTGCGTTTACTTGCAGTGCTCCAGTAGTTAAAACCAGAAAAAAGCGAAAATTCTTTCCAACCAATACCATCCTGCCAGTATCCAAACTGGTGAACCTGCCTTCCGTGGTTCAGCCTGAAGCCTCTACTCGGCCTGAAGCCTCTACTCGGCCCTGAATCCTCTACTCGGCCTGATTGCCTCTACTCTCGGCCTGAAGCCTCTCCATCGGCCTGAATGCCTCTACTCGGCCTGAAGCCAGCTACTCGGCCTGAAGCCTCTACTCAGCCGGACGCCGGCATTCAGCCTGATGCCTCTACCCCAGCATGATGAACTGATCCAGCCTGATGATCCTATTAGGGCCAGTTGACTCGATGCCCCCGCTGTTGATCCAGATGATCCGGTACCTGATCCGGTGCTCGCTTTGTCGTGCCAATTGACTCAGAGCCCGCTGTCGTACCTGGTGACTCGGTGCCCACTGCCTTGCCAGATGACGCGGTGCCCGCTGGCGAGCCAAATGACCTGATGCCTGGTGACCCAGTGCCCGCTGTCATACCTGGTGACCCGATGCCCCGCTGTCGAGCCAGACGATCCAATGCCTGGTGACCCGGTGCCCACTGCCTTGCCAGATGACGCGGTGCACGCTGGCAAGCCAAATGACCTGATGCCTGGTGACCCAGTGCCCGCTGTCGAGCCAGACAATTTGGTACTGATGACCCGGTGCCCACTGTCCGTGCCTGTTGATTCGGAGCCCACTGCCTTGCCTAGATGACGCGGTGCTGCCCGCTGTTGAGCCAAATGACCTGATGCCTGGTGACCCGATGCCCGCTCCATTTCCAGTTTTTCAGACGATCCAATGTCTGACCCAGTGCCCGCGGTCATAATTTTGTTGACTCGGAGCCCACTGCCTTGCCTGATGACGCGGTGCCCGCTGTTGAGCCAAAATGACCTGATGCCGGTGACCCGATGCCCGCTGTCTTTCAGCGATTCAATGTCTGACCCAGTTGCCCGCGGTCATACCAGTTGACTCGGGAGCCCACTGCCTTGCCAGAATGATGCGGGTGCCTCGCGGTCGAGGCCAAATGACCTGATGCCGGGTGGGACCCGAATGCCCGCTGTCCAGCCCAGACGATCCAACATGTCTGACCCAGTGCCAGCGGTCATGAGCGCCCAGTTTAACTTCGGAGTCGTTTTTTCCACTGTCGTAGTCCAGATGACTCACCACCCTACCACGCCGGCCGCTCGATCTGCCTGAGGGGCATTCCGATGACCTGTCGCTCCACTTGGGGTGTCCGGCGCCTGCCGCACCGTTTCTATTATCTGGGCCCGAGACCTGTTCGCTCCACCGGGGGTCCGCGGCCCGCTGACGCTTCCGCCTGAGGGGCCCGAGACCTGTCGCTCCACCCTGGGGTCCGCGCTGCCTCCCGCGCGCTCCGCCTGAGAGGCACCTAGAAGACCTTCGCTATTACCTTATGGGTCTGGCGCCCATTTTTTGCCACGCCTGTTGTTCGATTCCGTGTTCCTCCATCTGGGGTTCGCGCCCGCGCCTCCGCCTGCACGGCCCCGAGTTTGCCCTGATCGCTCCATCTGGGGGTCCGTCGCCCGCCGTTTGTGCCTGAGTGGCCCCGAGACCTGCCGCTCCACCTGGGGGTCCGGCGCCCGGCCGCTCCGCACTGAGGTTATAAATTATTGACCTGTCACCCACCCCCCCCCCGCTCCACCTGGGGTTCCAGAGCGCTCCCGCCTGCCGCTCCCGCCAATGAGTGTGGCCCCGAGACCTGTGTTTTCGCTCCATCTGGGGGTCCGCCGCCCCTCCTACCGCACCTGAGGCCCCGAGTACCTGTCCGTGCATTGGTCCACCTGGGGTCTCGGCCGGCCCGCCGCTCCATAAGCCGCCCTGAGGGCCCCGAGACCTTCGCACGTTTTTCACCTGGCAGGGGTCTGGCGCCCGCCGCTCATTATTTATTTTTGAGGGCCCCCCGATTTTTTACCTGTTCGCTCCACCTGGGGGTCCGGCGCCCGCAACAGCTACCGCCTGAGGGCCCGAGATCTGTCGCTCCACCTGGGGGGTCCCCGGCGCCCGCCGCCTCCGCCTGAGGCCCCCAGATTTTTTTTTTGTTCTTTTTTGATTTGTTTAGTGGCAAACATTTTTTTTGTGTCGACATCCACTTAAAGTTCGGCGCCCGCCGCTTCCGCCTAAAAAAGTGGCCCCAGACCTTACGTTAATGGGGTACCACGGCGCCCGCCAATCCGCCTGGGGCCCGAGACCTGGTCGCTCCACCTTGGGGGTCCGAAATACCCGCCCGCTGACCGGCCTGGAAGTGCCCGAGACCCTGTCGCTCCACCTGGGGGTCCCAGCGCCCAGCCGCTACCGGCCTGAGGGCCCGAGACCTGTCGCTCCACCTGTGGGGTCCCGGCGCCCCCGTATTGTTACGCTCCGCCTGAGGGCCCGAGACCTGTCGCTCCACCTGGGTATATCATACCTTCCCGCCGTTGATGTTTCCTGTTTTTAATGAGGGCCCGACTTACCAGTGATTTCGCTCCCGCCTGGATATCCGATAAAAGCAACGTCCCGCCCGTCCGCCTAAGCGGAAGCCCGGCACCCAAAGCCGATTTTAGACCTGTTTAGGAGCCAGATTTTGCCGGTTGCACTTACCCTGGGGGCATATATTTTGCCTGTCTTCGCCCAGAGTGGCCTGCGCAGGGTTGCCGATGCCTGTACTGCCCCGCCTGGGGGCCCCGATGCCTGTCTTTTCACCCTCCTGGTAATTACATTTTAATATTGCCGTTTATACGACCACAAGGATATCGCCCCTCCTGGGGGCTCCCTCAGATGCACTTTCGTACTCGATTGCCCCTCCTGGGGGCCCAGTGCCTGCTTCCGCCCGGTTGTCACCAATTTAGACTGCTGCTGACTTCGCCCGGGTAATACCGACCCCTGTACTTGCCCTACCCAAGGTTTTCCATCCGTGGTGTAATTGGTTTTTGCCTCCTTTGCCCTTTTCCGCCCGATTTGCCTCTGCCGCGTTCCAACATTGCTGTGCGCTCTGCCCCTGGAGTCCAGCCAAAGCTACTGTTGCCTCTGCCCGAGTCAAGTCCTGGGCCCAGATGTATGTCTGTGCAAACTGCTGTCCTGCCCATTTTTTTGACCCTGGTTGTTAGATTTTACTCGCAACCGATGTTTGCCTCGCCCGGTAATGTGCTTAGCCCGATTTTTGCCTCTGCCCAGTCCAGCCCGATGTGCCACTGCTTTTTCCTACTTGGGAGTTAGCCTTAAGCCCGATGTAGCCTCGTGCCCCGGACTCAGCCAGCCCGATGTGGCCTTTGCCCGGAGTCCAGCCCGCTGTGCCTCTGCCCCGGAGTCCAGCCACATGAGCCTCTGCCCTTCCCGGAGTCCGGCCCGGATGTGCCTCTGCCCGTTGTTCACTCAGAATGAGTGTAATCGATTGTTGGGATTCTAGCCCATCGGTGTTTTCAGCCCGATGATCCTTTCTGGTCCGGAGTCCAGCACCATATGTGCAAAATCTTTTCGGTGTAATGAATGTTTATTTGCCGCCTCCCCCTTGTTGTAATCCAATTTTGCCCCGGAAGGCATGCCATTTGTGTGGCCAGTCATTGTGTTCCTCACAGCCAGTTTCCAGACCCTGGCTTGTGGACACATTTATTGCCCAGCTTCTACGTGTTAAGTGATGCTTTGTGAGGGTTTTGCCGCTCTTTGATGAATATTTTATATTTAGTCAGGTATGGACTGCCAGTTCAATGCGTTGCTCTGCACCTGTTTTTTATTGTTTTATATGTACCAGGGTGCTGCGGCTTAGCGGGTGCTCCCAGTTTATCGAGACTCCACTTTTCACGCCACTAACATTGTGTACTTTTTGATTATGCTTGGGTTTTTGGATTGTTTTGCCAGCACCCACATATTATGTCCGTTCCCCGTTTATATTCTCCCTGGGCCCTGTATCTGTCCCTTGCTTCCTTGTTTTCTGTTCCTTTGCTGACCCTCTGTTAACTACGCTGCTTGTCATTAACCTGTCCTTATCCCTTGGCCTTGTGACCCTGGACCATTCGTTATGTCTGTACCACATCTGTACTTGCATGCTGTGATTGCTTTTTGGTGGTGCTTTGGTTTGTCATTTTTACCATCCCTTGTGCTTGACTTTTTTTGCCTTTTATGTGGTTTCTTTTTTTCTTATTTTTGAGTACGTTTTATTTAATTTTAGTTTCGATGTTTCTTTCTTGTTATTTCTGTTGTTGTTCCCCTATTTTTCTGGTTTTCTTGTTTATTTTGTCTTTTTTTTTTTTTGTATCCTTTTTGTTTTGGTTTGGGGGTTTTTTGCAAATTTTATTTTTTTTAGTATTGCCTGCGTTAGTTTGTATTGTTAGTGTTAAAAAAATTAAAATTGTTTTTCCCCCTAACTGAAATCTGCTTTCCCTGCGTCATCACACACTTGGTCATACCCGGGGAAAAAGCCCTTTTTAAAAATAAGGGGGGATATGATTTTCCTGGGATAATACTTTAAAGGGGGATATGAAACTCCATGTTTTATAAATCCTGAAAAAAAGGGGGTTTGATCTCCATGGAAAAAATACATTTAAAGGGGGGATATTGATTCTTTCCCTTTTATAATAAAATAAAGGGGGGGTAAGATCTCCTTGGGATAATCAAAAGGGGGGGGGGTATGATCCCATGTATAATACATTTAAAGGGGGTTATGTTTCCATTTTAAAAATACTTTAAAAGGGGGGGGGTGAAACCCCCTTTTAATACATAAGGGGGGGATATGATCTTTCCCTGTATAATTTCATAAGGGGGGGGGTTTGATCCCAAAATTTTAATTTCATAAGGGGGGGTTAAAGATCTCCATGAAAAATACATAAAAGGGGGGGTATGATTCCCATGTATAAAACCCTAAGGGGGGGGGATATGATCTCCATGTATAATACATAAAGGGGGGGAAAGATCCCATGGGTTTAAAACATAAAGGGGGGTATGATCTCCATGTATAATACATAAAGGGGGGGGTATGATTTCCCCTGTATAAAACATAAGGAAGGGGGGTATGTTCCATGTATAATTCATAAGGGGGGAAAATGATCTCCTTTTAAAAAAACATTTAAGGGGGGGTATGATCTCCATGTATAATACATAAGGGGGGATTGTTTTCCATTTTAAAAATAAAATAAAGGGTGATTGATCTCCCTGTATAATACCAAATAAGGTTTGGGGGATTTTGATTTTCCATGTAAAATACATAAGGGGGATAAGAAAACTCCAAGTTTAATACATAAGGGGGGGGGTATGAACTCCATGGGATAAATACATAAGGGGGATAAGATCTCCCTTTAAAAAGGGGGGAATACCCCATAATTAAAAAAGGGGGAATATTATCTCATGTATAATACCAAAAATAAAAAAAGGGGGTATACTCATGTATAATACATAAAGGGGGGGTATGATCTCCATGTAAAATACATAAAGGGGGGGTATGATCCCATGTATAATACATAAGGGGGGGAATTTTGATCTCCCCTGTTATATAAAAAATTATTTTTAAAAAAACTGGTTCATATAGTGAAATCCCCGGGGTAGAGCTATTCACCTGAGGTCATCACAGAGGACAAGGGGGCGCTCTTTTCAAACTGGGGGAAAAGGAAATTTAATCTCCAAAAACGGGAAAAGGGTTTCTTTACAGTAAGAGCTTTTTGAGAAAAAGTGGGAAAAGACTCCCTCAAGAGTTGGTTCTGGGCCCCGGGTTTAGTGGATTGCTTTATAAAAGTCCTGGATTCTTTCTTTTAAAACACCGAATATAACTGGAAAAAACTTTTTTAAAA